GTGCTCGCTGTTTCCCTGTCCCTGCCTGGCTTTGGCGGCGTGGGCGCCCTGAGGGCCGGGCCGCCGCGCCGCGTCCCGGTCCCCGCGCTGGCCCGGCCCGGCCCCTCAGCTCCACCCCCTGCCTCCCCCCTCCCGCCCGCTCGCGCCTCCTGAAAAGCCAGCCCGCCCGGGGCGGCGGCGCAGAGCCGGGCCCGGCGCACGAGGCAGCCAGCGCGGCCATGACGGCGGAGAAGGCGCTGCCTCTGGGCAATGGGAAGGCTGCCGAGGAGGCGCGGGAGTCTGAGGCGCTGGGAGGCGGCGGCGGCTGCAGCGGGGGCGCGGCGCCCGCGCGCGACCCGCGCGACAAGCGCGACAAGGCGGTCCACGAGCGCGGCCACTGGAACAACAAGGTGGAGTTCGTGCTGAGCGTGGCTGGGGAGATCATCGGGCTGGGGAACGTGTGGCGCTTCCCTTACCTGTGCTACAAGAACGGAGGAGGTGAGGCGGCGCGCGCGGCGTGAGCGGGAATGAGGAGGGGAAAGCGGCCCGGTGGGGGCGGGGAGCAAGGGGGTGAGCGAGTGACCCCTCCCGCGCCTGCGTGTAGCGGGACCCTCGTGGGGAGTGCCTGCCTTGGGCCACCTGGCGCGTGAGCTCTCCCGGGGCTAGGCTCGCCTGTCCCAGGGCGCATGTGCACGTTTCTTCGCACCTGAATGTGCCGCCTGCCAGCACGCGAGGACGTGGTCGCCAGGTGTGTTCTGAGCCAGCGTCGGGTGGAGGCCCATGCTGGGAGCCCTTCCTTGCTTTTGAGACGTGCCTTAGCGTCTGGGGCAGGAGACAGCCCCTTGGAGCCTCAGCTTTCCCAACTGGAAACGAGTGTGAAGGAAAAGGACTCTGATCAGGATCCGTGTAGGCTGGGGTTCTGAGCACTTAGTGAAATGCCAGACTCAGCTTTCCCTCCATCATCTCATTTCATCCTTAAAGTCATCTCTGCAGGCAGTGGCAAACCCATTTTGCAGATGAGGATGCAAAGGGTCAGAGAAGTAAGCCCATAAAGAGATAAAGATGGGATTCTGACACCAAGGCCTTGTTTTAAACTGGGATTGGACTGACAACAGGGAGGACTTTTGGGCGAGGTGTTGATGTTCGATTGCCCGCCCCGTCTTTCATTTGCCCTTAAGGCCTTTACTAGGTCCTCTTTTCGGGCCTATCTGGCGGAAGCACTGGCACCAAGCGGTTTCTTTTACCAGTGTCAGAGACACGGACAAAGAGCAACGACACGGATTTAATGTTTAGGAGATGCTTCGAGAGTGTGGAGTGGGGGACTGGGAGAGGAAGGTGATGAGAGAGTTGTTCCTAGTGGCTTGTCCGAGTCAGTTTGGTGGAGATTCTGCAGTGAATCCTCAAATCTTTCAGCTGAAGGACTTTAGGAGCCTCCACCTGTCCTATCAGCAGGACAGATGGTAGGTGTGTGGCAAGGGACCTTGTGAAACCTTTGTGGGTGGCACAGTTTCTCCCAGGAAAAGCTTGTGTCCATGTATTCCTCCCTCTTTGCTGTGCCCCTGCCCCTCTAGCAGATTCCCAAGACCCCAGTGGAGGTGGCTCAGAAGTTGGCTGGCAGGGACCACACTGTTAGGCCGCTCGGAGTAGGACTTCCTGTTCGAGCAGCTGCAGGGAGAGCGAGAAGGGTACTGCTTGGCCCAGGCCCTTTCTTTGGAGACATTCATCCTGAAAGCCCAGGCTGCTCCAAGCCTGCTCTGCACTGGTAATGAAGTGGCCGCCGGTGTTGGTGGCTTGGCACTGGGGACAGAGGGAGTGGACTTGGAGACCCGGAACGTGCCCTGTGGCCTCAGCTGAGTTCTGCCTTTTTGCAGATTCAGCCTTTATTAGCTGCCATGTCTTCTTAGAAACCTGTGGAAACCCTGTTTAGGGTAGTCCCAGGCAAAAATCGTTTTAGCATCTTTTTTTTTTTTTAATACAGGAAATTGTTATACCAAAACAATGCATTCCTAAAAGGAGGCAACAGAGTAAATTGGGTTAATTACAAATTCTGCACAGATTAAAAGAAAAAAAGTTGCAGTGAGTAAAATTTAAAAATTAGTAGGTTTTTTTTTTTTTTAACTCGCCAAGAGTCCCCATTGGGCACACAAATATCCTGATTTAATTGAGGTAGTTATCTTGAGTACTAGCTTTGCGAATACATGGGCTAGAAGTCTTTCAGAAAGTGCTGTTAGGTTCTAGAGGGTTCACAGCATATTAGCGAACCTGTTGTAGCTTCTTCTAATCACTTAGATTTATATTCAGCAAACAGACCGTCTTGTTCCTTTCACACACTTTTTGCCTTCTGCTATAGCTGGGGTATCTGATTATCCACTGCTTGCCTTTAAAAAAAAAAAAATCTATACAATTCTATTCATAGATCCCAGCACTAGTTTAAAGGATTTCTTTCCCAATGTGAAACTAAGAAAACGAAAACAGCAACAACAACAAAACAGTGTCTGGCCCCAAAAAGCTTTTCAAAGACGCTTTCAAAATTTGATGGATGTGGTCCTACTATCAGGTTTGATCAAAATTGTTGCTATTAGTTCTAAGGCTGAAGAGACTTCATTTAGCAAAAAGCAATTTCAGTTAAAGCCTTCATTTGTTAGATTAGATCGTGAGGAATAGCATGTGTTTCCAAGCTTTGTTATTAAACAGGTGAGAGGGAATGAGGGATTTGGAAAATCCTTTTCTGGTTATAGTAGCTCATGCTCACCTGAGTTATTTCATTTGTTTCAAAGAAAGGCCCAGGCAGTGGGTATTGTGTACCAGGATAGGAGCACTAAAGCTTATGGCGGTCTTTCTCAGATTGATTCAGAGTCAGCCTTCTGGGGAGATAGATACTTGTTGCAAACCCCTTATAAGTCAACTCCATAGCTGGGTCTCATGTACTGGGGCGCCATATTGCTAATAGCACATCTCCTTGAGAATGCTTTTCTTAATGAAAAGTATTTTCTTTTTTTTTTTTTTGCAGATCACTTCCAAAGTAAATAGGAGGAAGGGGTCCCCTTCACCTAGCCTGTTGAGGTTACTTTAGGATAAAAAAGAAGAATGTAATGTTCAGGGAGAGAATGGATTTAACCTAAAGAGTGCTAGAGAGTGAAATATATACATTATAGAATTAAGCAAAGAGAACAGTTCCTTTTTACATTATCATCTTAGATGCACAACATTTCTGTGAGATAAGTGGTACGGATGTTAAATATTAAAAGCCCTATTTTACAGATGAACAAGTTGAGGCTGGGAGATGTGAGGTAGATGTGCAGAGAGCACAAACCCAGGGCCATGTTTTCTGACTGTGGTCGTCAAGGTGTGAACTTGACCTCAAGCTCAGCGAACATTACGTCTTGCACGTAGTAGGTGATTATTAAAGATTTCTTGTGCTGAACTCGAAATAGTAGAGGCAATTTTAACCTCATTCCCTTACTTTGCATCCTTGTAGGGGCGTTCCTGATTCCCTATGTGGTGTTTTTTATTTGCTGTGGAATTCCTGTTTTTTTCTTGGAAACGGCTCTGGGACAGTTCACGAGTGAAGGTGGCATTACATGTTGGAGGAAAGTTTGCCCTTTGTTTGAAGGTAAGCACTGAGTTCAAGAATGAAATGGTGCCTGGGTGATGTCAGGCTGTGAAAGGCAGCTGAGACTGTTTTAACAAGGTGGTAAGAGACCCACATCACTCCCTTTGTTCTTTCAGGCATTGGCTATGCAACACAGGTGATCGAGGCCCATCTAAACGTGTACTACATCATTATCCTGGCATGGGCCATTTTCTACCTGAGCAACTGCTTCACCACCGAGCTCCCCTGGGCTACCTGTGGGCATGAGTGGAACACAGGTATGGTCCCCAGGGAGGGTCTCTCTGCAGGTCCTGCTGGGGGACCAGGGATTGGGGGTATGCCCTTGTCCTGGACATCAATCCTGGCCTCTTGACATGAGTCCAGATTCCACTGAAACTGGAGATCAGTTCTGCACTGGGTCTGGTTGCCCTGGCTCAGTAATTGGCATGGGTAGAAGAATGGTGATGTTCTTTCCTTGCTTTGCTGAATACAGAGACTGAGCCCTTTGTGGGCAGAGAGGGGTTCAGGCTCTAGTTCCAGCCGGGCCCCTCTGGGTGTCAGATTTTCCTCTGTAAAATGAACGGGTTAGGCTAGATCAAGGGTTGCAAACCATGGGCCTGTAGACCAGTTAGGCTTTAACTCAGTGATCAGTGAATTTCAAAAATGTGTTTGGTTGCCAAAATTTAAAAACCAGAAGACCTCGCATGAAAATCCAGATTTCCCGCTTCTGTTGAAAAAAATAAATAAATAAAAGATCTGGCAATAGCAGACCCACATTCTCACAGTCTTGCTTGACAGCAGCTGGGGCTGATAAGCAGTTGTCTTTGGATAAGGCATCTGTCCACAAGTTGGCCACAGTCTCCACTCAGCTCACATTGCTTATTTACTTTCCCAATCTAACCCAGGTAGAAATTTGAATGTACCACTCTCCCACTTCCTTGAACGGATAACTCTTTAGGTTACTTTGGATTCTTTTTTTTTTTTTTTTAATTTTTTTTTCAACGTTTTTATGTAACAGAGAGACACAGAGAGACAACGGGGGAAGGGCAGAGAGAGAGGGAGACACAGAATCGGAAACAGGCTCCAGGCTCTGAGCCATCAGCCCAGAGCCCGACGCGGGGCTCGAACTCACGGACCGCGAGATCGTGACCTGGCTGAAGTCGGACGCTTAACCGACTGCGCCACCCAGGCGCCCCAAGATTACTTTGGATTCTTATGTGCTGTTTGCTTTTCAATTTGTCCATCCTATCAAGATGGTGTCTTAAAATCCAGGGAAAGCAACAACATATTTATTCCCTATCTGTGATGGCTGTGCTCAGAGCAGACATCACTAATTGACTGTAGAACTCTATCCTTTTGAGCCTAGTCTTGGCCTCAGAACCCTTCTCAGCAGTGCTCCAGGCAGCCACTGCCTTTTGACTGGAATGAACACACATGCTTTAAGCTGTTCACCATCTGTGTTATAACCTGTGGTTAGGTTGTCCCTGGAAGGGTCATTTCATCCTGCAGGCTGAGGTACGGTAAGATTGGGTGGGATGTTGGTTATCAGCATAAGGAACGGGGAGTAGGGAGTAGTAGGTCTAGAAAGTGCTGTGATGTCACTTCCAGTGTTGTGGTGACTGCCCTGCTCCCACCGTTGGATTGTGTGGAGGTCTCACTATCTCTCTTTAGGGCACTGGTTCCTAACCTTTCTTTGGCTGGGGACTTCATAGAGATGTTTATCAAATTAAAATTCAAGGATATATTCTTGGAGGCCTGCAAGTCCTCCATGATAATTTAACTGTGTGTGTTTATTTTGAGGGCACTCTAAAAATACGCACATGTTCTAGATTATCTGCACAACCACCTTCCACCGAGGACAGTCAGGAGACTTCAGTGCCCAGCGTTGTGCATGTTTACAGTTTAAGATGGGTTCTTGATAAGTAGGATGATGGTGGCCAATGGAGGAGATCACAGAGATTTAATTTGTAAATGGTGCTTTGGTATTCATCAAAGTCCAGTTAGGAATGCCACAAACTGTAAGAATGAAGATATTGCGCAAGTGTGACCAGAGGAAAATGATAGTAGAATTGCTTCTCAAGTAGCCAGTGGAAGAATAGGCAAGCTGAATCCACAGACCCTGCCTCCTCCCTTTGGCTCCACTCTCCTGTCAGGAAATCCATTTAATTTCACAAAATGGCATTGTCCTACACATACATTTTATGCTATCAGTTTGAATTGTGTTCCGTAGTTGGTATTTAATGTATAAATTTAATTCTGGTTTGATAGTCGTATGAGTACTATAATCACAAGGACTTTATAACTCCTTTATTTGTACACAGATGTCATTTATTTATTTATTTATTTATTTATTTATTTATTTATTTAAAAAAAAATTTTTTTTTTCAACATTTATTTATTTTTGGGACAGAGACAGACAGAGCATGAACGGGGGAGGGGCAGAGAGAGAGGGAGACACAGAATCGGAAACAGGCTCCAGGCTCTGAGCCATCAGCCCAGAGCCTGACGCGGGGCTCGAACTCCCGGACCGCGAGATCGTGACCTGGCTGAAGTCGGACGCTTAACCGACTGCGCCACCCAGGCGCCCCACAGATGTCATTTTAATAAAAATACCTTGTCAATGTTGGATGTCTGAGAAATTTGTTTACTCTAGGGAGAAAAAAAAGAGACGCACTGTTTTAGAGACTGATCAAAACTAAGGGCTCCCTTCCCTGGAAAAAAGCATGAGGGTTCCTATAATCTCAGGTTTTCAGACTCCTTTCAGGATGTCGTGGCCCCCACAGACCCCCCCTGCCCCGGCTTTCAGAATATGGTTAGTCCTTGCCAGGAGGAGCAGGAAGGAGGCAGACGATTGGGGGACTTTTCCCCAGCAGACGGCAAACCTTTCTCCCACTGGTTTGCAGCCCCCTTTCTCTCCTAGCATGTGAACACTTGTGTTGTGTAAAAACGTCATGTGTGAGAGGTGCTTCCTGCTCCAGAGGCTACAGATGTAGTTGGAGGGTTTGTACCCATGCGAGGAGAGAGCAGTGCCAGAGCGAAGCAGACCACTGACTCCTTGCTGGGTGCAGGGGCTCCGGAGTGAACAGTGCAGCTGCCCTCAGGGAGTTCACAGTCTGGCGCAGAGCTCTGTAAACAGGGGTGCTGTAAAGAGGTTCAGGTCCCGTGGTGGGAAACAGACCTGGCTGATAATCACGAGATGGGACACTGGCTGGAGTGGACTCCCAGTTCTGTCCCTAACTGACTTTATAGAGGAGGGAGTGGGTAGGGATATGGGTCCCTTGACTGTTCCTGAACCTTAGATTCTCCTCTTCAAAATTAAAGGGAGTTGGAGAAGGTGGTTCCTTGGAGGGTCTTTACATTCTGCTTTTCTTAGAACTCAGGGGAGGGAGATAGATGAAGTCTCCCTGGAGGAGGGGGTCAATCTGGGCCTTTAAGATCGAACAGTTGGATGTTTTTACTGGAAATTCAACTCCCCCTTGGTCATCAAGTTTCATGAAATGAGACGTTCAATAAATACTTTCTTGGATTGACCAATCAAGTGAGGGAATGAGGAAGAAAGCAGAAATTCTTTACACCTACAGGCTCACGCCATTTCATCCAGTTCCCACATCTTTATGAGGCAGTTGCGATATTAGTGTCTTCCTACGTGAAGGAAAACGGAGTCTCAAATGTATTACCGTCGTAGGGACACTGTGACCGACTCACTCTTTTAGACCCTCCACCCCTGCTGGGGCCACTGGGCAGGACAGATAAATGCCATGGAGAGGGCTTCTGTAGGGAAGTGGAAAAAAGGAAAGGAAATTCGGAACCATGCAGGAGGAGAGTTTGATAGGGCATTTGGAGTGGAAGTGAGAGAAGGTGTCGTGCCCCCAAACCTTTCCCGCCTGTTCTAATCAGACCAGACCTCTCATTTAAACTGTAAGTGATCGATTTTCCTCCTCGGTGTTCTCTGAGGCATGTTTGCTTAGAGCGGCTAGTTAAAACCACCTGGTTGCACCATCAGCTTTGAATGTTTCCCAAGGTCCAGCCCTTGCAGAGGTTAATCTTCTCTTTCTTGTCTTGTTTCCACTGTAGAGAATTGTGTGGAGTTCCAGAAACTGAACGTGAGCAACCACAGTCATGTGTCCCTGCAGAACGCCACCTCTCCCGTCATGGAGTTTTGGGAGTAAGTGGAAAGTGACTCATGTCCCTTGGCCTGTGGGGCCTCTGTCCTGGTTCTGCTCAGTTAACATTGCCCCCACCCTTGGAAAAAGTCTGACCCTTTCTTTCTCTGGCTTCGCACTTCCTGGTTTCTGGGGACGTTTGACTGCTTTGGAAGCCAGTGCGGAGATTTTACACGTTTCCTAAAGGAGCAGCTGAGAGGAATGTTTTCTTGTTCTTTGATGGCATGTCAGCATGCCTGGTTGCTTATTAGGGCAGGAAATGCTTGCTAAAAATTATAGTTTTTAAAAAAAGGGTTTTTAACAAAAGAGGAGACATAGCATGTTTGCTATAAGCTAAGTCAGAAGTGTATTTAGCCTGGGAAGCAGAAGTCTCCAGGGCAGAGAGGGCAGGTTAGCTTTCCTTCAGTACCTGAAGTGTCATGTGCAAAGGAAGCAGGTGAACTTGAATGGATAGAGGTTCTAAAGAGGCAAGTTTAAATGTGCTTAAGGGAGAGGTTAGTTTCATAGCACGGTCTGCAAGTACTTCTGAAGGTTGTGATCACCCAACTCTGAAAGTGTTTACCTGGTGGAGGGTCACTAAGCATTGTTGGGGAGGTGTCTGAATCCACCGACATTACAGGCAGTAATTGTGTGAATGGGCATTTCCCCAGAGGTGGGCATTCTTCCTTAACATCCCAAAGGGGTCTGTGACCTGGCAGTTACAGGGCTGCCACGTATGGTTATAGAAGTCGTGCACTGCACAACCCTAGGGGGACTTATTCATGTTGTGAAATGTGTGCTCCAGAATTGTACAGTGCCAACCTGCATAACAGTACACAGCGGCCCTGACTTGGGGTCTTCTGAGGTAGAAGGATCACCTTGTTTTGGGTATTGAAGAGATGTTTCCTCTGTGGGTCAGAGGTTGGGCTAAATGTTTTCTGAGACTATTCCATCTGAAAAAAGTATGGCTTTGTTCAAGAACACTGCCTACCCTAGTGCTGATTATAAGTAGGGTAGAGGGGCAGTGGTTTTATGAGTCATTTTAATTCTCTTCCCAGATACCATTCATCTCCTTCCCTCTCTAGAGGTCATGATGCTGAATTTAGACTGATCATTCTCATGTTTATAGTTGGTGTGTGTGTGTCATACATATATATACACATTCTATATTAATATGTAATTATAAACTTTAATAAGCTTTTATTATAAAAATTATAAAGCTTTATATAAAATTATAAAAATGTATAAGCTTTATATAAAATTATATATAAACTATTTGTATGTTAGCTATATATATGCTATATATACATCTCCCAAATAGTACCTAGATCTTTGTGGCATACTTAAAAAGTTTTTTATTGATGGTATCCATTACTTTTCTTACAACTTTGTTCTTTGCTCAGTTTTGGTTTTGAGATGTTCCCCTGTTGATACATTGCAGCTTTGGTTCATTTATTTTTTCCTGCTGTATAGTATTTCAATGTATAAAAAGACTACATTGTATTTAGCCAGCTCCTCTTGATGGGCATTTAGACTTTCTCTAGTTTCCCAGTGTTACTAAGAACACTGAATAAATGTCTTGCCCATGCTTCCCTGTGTGCGTGAAGGAAGGTTTCTAGGCCTGTACCTAAGAGTGGGATTGCTAATGGTAGGGTGTATGTTTATTATCGGTTTTATCAGATAACGTCCAATTGCTTTCTGAAAGGATTGTTCTAATTTACTTTCCAAACAGTACTGTATGAGAATTCTACTGTTCCATATTCTAGACAGCATTTGGTCTGGTTAATTTTTAAGTTTTGCATCCGACTGTTCTAAATTTGCATTCCTCTAATGACTTGCGAGGTTGAGCACATTTCATGTGTTTTTCCCTATTTGGGTTCCTCATCTGTGAACTTCCCGTTCGTATTCTTTTCTCTTTGGATTGTGTGTCTTTCCTCATGGGTAGGAATTCTTGACACATTCTAGATATTAGTATCTTGACACATTCTAGATATAAATATGCTGCAAATTGCCTTCCCTAGTGTGTGGCTTTTCTTATTTATTTATGGCATTTGGAGTTTTAACTTTATTGAAGTCAAATTTGCCAGTCTGTTCTTTTTGGTTTGCACAGTTGGTATCTTATTTAAGATGTATTTCCCTACCCAAAGTTGGGGGAAAAAATCTTTTATATGTTCTTCTAAAAGTTTTAAAGTTTTGGGGTGCCTGGGTAGCTCACTCGGTTAAGCATCCGACTTCAGCTCAGGTCATGATGTCGCAGTCCGTGAGTTTGAACCCTGTATCAGGCTCTGTGCTGACAGCTCAATGCCTGGAGCCTGCTTCAGATTCTGTGTCTCCCTCTCTCTGCCCCTCCCCCGCTCACTCTGTCTCTTAAAAATAAATAAATGTTAAAAATTTTAAAGTTTTAAAGTTTTGTGTTTTCATATTTAAGAATATAATCTACTTAGAATTTTATTTTTGTACATGGCATGATGTAGGAGTTCAGGGCTGTTGTTGTTTTTTAATACAAATTATCAAATTTTCCAGCCATATTTACTGAATTATTGATCTTTTTCCTATGATTTATAATGCTATCTTCCATACATAGTTATCTTAAAAATACAGGTCTACTTTGGGGCTCTTGTTCTGTTCCATTTGTCTCTCTAGCTAATTGTGTGTTAATACTACACCCACATTTTTATTGTAAGCCTGGAGCTGGTAAGACATGTGGGGACTTGTCTTTGTTCTTTTCCAAAATTGCCTACCAAATGAATTTCAGACCCAGTTTGTCATGTTAAATACCAATAAAGAACAAAATAATTTCGTGGGGATTTTGGTGGGAAGTATATTGAATGATTATGTTAATTAGAAGAAAATTGATATCTTTGTGTTTGAGCCTCTCTGTCCATGAACATGGTATAGCCCTCCATTTATTTAGGTTTTTTTTTAATTCCTGATACAATAGTGTTACTTAAATGTCTACAAAGTAGTGGCATTAGAATACCTGATTAGAAATTCAGGTTCTCCATTCCTCCCCAGACCTACTGAGTCATAGTGTCAAATACAGCATACATAAGACATGTGCTAGACAGAGGATTACTGTGGTAGGTGGACTGGTGTGGCCTTTCCCAGCCCCATTGGGCTATGATTTCCCAGAGGCATATTACAGAGACTTATTTGTGACCTACATATTTTGAGGGTCTGTAAAACAGGGTCTCTTTGCTCCCTTAGAGAATCGATCCTGAAACCCCACAATGGAGAATATCTCTGTGTAACTTACATTGTTTCTCACCATTTATTTCCTTTGTGTCATATATAGAAAACCTCAATTAAATCATTTTTTTTGTGTGTGAAATGTGTTTGTTTATTGTCTGTATTCACCAAAAGGTAGTCCTAAAGGAACACCTTGTCTGGCTTTACTTACTACTGCTGGTCTGTGGAAGATCCCCAAGGAATATTTACAGAATGCATAGATGCATGCGAGGAAGACAGGCAGGCAATATTTTCTTGGAAATACTACACAAAAACTCAGAGTGGGTTCTGGCAAGAATTCATCCTGTCACTAAGGTCCCTGGCCAACAGCATCGATTGCTTCCTGGATCCCTTTGCACTATCCATATCATCAACTTATTTGGACACAAAGTGGTGGGAGGAGACAGCTAATCTGCATCCTCGTGTGTAACTGAACCTTGTGGCCTACTGCGTGGCCATTCTAGATGAAAGTCCATGGGAGAATGAACCCATGGTTCTAGTTTTCTATTAGATTGCATCTGTATCATCTGTGCAGTGTTGAATTCTACATCCTAAAAGTACTCAGATACCTGTGTGACAATCACCTTTTCATAACATGCTTTTGTCAGACAGTTCTTTTATGTATGTATGTATTTATTTTTAATTTTTTAAATGTTCATTTATTTTTGAGAGAGATAGCATGAGCAGGGGAGGGGCAGAGAGAGAGGGAGACACAGAATCGGAAGCAGGATCCAAACTCTGAGCTGTTAGCACAGAGCCTGATGCGAGGCTTGAACTCACGAGCTGTGAGATCATGATCTGAGCCGAAATCGGACGCATAACCAACTGAGCCACCCAGGCGCCCCTGTCAGGTGGTTCTAATTCATCTCTTCCCAGAGATGAGCTTGGAAAGGAGACTCTGTGAGATGTTCATAACATCCTATGAAAAGCCACTGGGGCCACATGCATTTGAGAAGGGTTGAAAACTGTGCCCTTTGGCAAGAACATCTGTTATCTTTGATTAACTCAAATTGCCAAATGTATTTTCCTGTGGAATCATTTGGAGTCATTCCTTTCTACCCCCACCCTACCCCCACTCCCTGAATGCTAGCCGTCCATGCAGCACAGTTTGACACATACTTTGCTGGGAGGGAGTTCTTCCTTAAATTCAGCTGACAGTTGACTTCTGGGGCTTTGGATGGAGCATGTCTAATTCCTTGCCAGTGTGACAGCTCTTCAAGTATTGTATCAAGTTTCCTCAGAAGCATTTCTTCTTTGGTTCTTTGTCCTGTTTCCCTGTGTGGCTGGCTCACGGATGCCCCACCTCAGGGTGCTCCTGGTACCTTTCCTTACTGCCTCTGACCTCATTCAGGCCCACACACTGCTTGGTCCAAATAGACTGCCTTGGCTGCCTGCTCGTTCACTCATTCCATAAATGTGTGAGTTCGTGGTATTCATAGGAAGGACACTGCACGTTTGGAGGAGGCAGAAATGTGGGATGCAACTCTAGCCCTCTAGAAGCGGAGGTGAGACAAGCCCCTAAACTGCTGTAAAATCAGGTACAAGGTGTTACTTCCCTGCACATGACTGGCCATACCTTCACCTTGACCTTGGGCACCTGGCCCAACCCACCCCCTGTCTTACAGGTTCATATCCCTTTTCAGGGTACAAGTTAATGGCTTAGCCAGTGAGAAAAGGTTGGGCCCTGGGTCAGTCTTGGACTGTGGCTCAAGCAAGGGGCCTATGGGGCAGGGGCAATTTGTCTTTCTCATGTCAGATTTCAAAATTAGGCCGTTCTGGTTTTCTCAGTAACTCA